CAATCCTTTTCTACCTTACAGAGGTTTGCATTATTCATTGTGATTACGTAAAGGAGTTATGTTTGCCCCATATTTCTGATGGAAATATTTTTTATGTGAGGTTTTCTTTTTCATTTTATTGTATTTTAGATGAAAGTTTACCCAACAAATTAGCTTCCCATTCAACATTTATATACACATTGTTCTGGAACATTGGTTGCTATCCCCACAATGTGTTAGGTAGCACTCTCCTCATTTCCACCTTACCTTCTGCATTTCCATCCCTCCTGTTTCCCTACCTCTTACCTTCTCTGCTTTGCTTTAGGGCAAATGCTCCCCATGTGGTCTTAAACAGTTGACTGTTCTAAGGAGCACAATCTTCACTGGTGTTATTGTTTGTTTTATAGGCCAATCAATTATTTGGCTGAAAAGTGACCTTCAGAAGTGGCTTTGGTTCCAAGTTAAAAGGATCTTAAGGCATAGTCTCAGGGGTTTCCCACCTCTATATCAGTGCAATAAGTTAGGTATTTTTTTTAGGAATTTGAGTTTTGCTCTACAGTTTTCTCTCCCATTGTAATTGAAACCCTCAGTAGTGTCCCTGGTTAGAGAAGTGGGTAGTGATAGCCAGGCACCATCTAGTCCTTCTGGTCTCAGACTAGAAAAGGCTATGGTTCATGTGGGCCTCTCATCTTGTGGACTAATTGCTTCCTTGAGTCTTTGGTTTTCTTCACTTTCCTTTGCTCCAGAGAGGAAGAGAACAGTAGTTGTATGTTAGAGGCCTGATTGCTAACTTTTGAGACCCCAGGTGCTACTCACAAAACTAGGTTGTAGAGCATTATTTTTATGAACTATGTCAAGGAGCTCTGCTGGTGTAGTGCCTAAGGCATTTGACTGCTAACCAGAACGCTGGTGATGCAAACCCACCAGCCACTCCGCAGAAGGAAGACTGGACAATCTACTTCCATAGAGATACTGCCTCAGAAACCCAAGGAGGGGTTGCTATGTTATGTCAATTGACCAAGATGTCCTCTGAGATTATGGTACTTAAACTTCAAGCCCAGTAGCTCAATGACACAAAGGGATATGTCTAAGAAGTTTCCATTACTGTGCCCCCCTATCTGCCCTATATTACATATAGGAATATATATGCAGCACATATAAATATGAATATACAAATGCCCACAACTATACATATCTACACACATGCATGTACTCCCATACACCATCCCACAACTCTATAGCATACATGTCTACCTATGTAACCTAACCACTCACAAATTTTTAGTTATTACTGTTGTTGCAGAATTGTATATGGTATAGCATTTACTATAAAACAAAAGAAAACAAAATCCACTGCCATCAAGTCAATTATAACTCATAGCAACTCCCATTGGATTTCCAAGGTTGCAAATCTGTAGGGAAGTAGATTGCCTCATCTTCCTCCAGCAGAGCAGCTAGTGGGTTTGAACCACCAGCCGTCTGGTCAGCAGCCATTTGCCTTACCCACTACACCACCAGAGCTCCTTAGCATTTACATCATTGTCCTTTATTCTTGCATACTTCTCAGTGTCTTCATTTTATGTGAGGTTTTTAAAATCCACTTGTCTTTCAAATTCATATCCCTTTATCTCATCACCGGAGCTCTGGTAGCACAGTGCCTAAGGCATTTGACTGCTAACCAGAAGGCTAGTGGTTCAAGCCCACCAGCCACACCTCAGAAGGAAGTTTGGACAATCTACTTCTGTAGTGATACTGCCTCAGAAAATCAAGAAGCAGTCGCTATGAGTCAGGTTCAACTTGATGGCAGTGAGTTTGGTTGGTTGGTTTGTCTCATCACAGAATTGAGACTAAGGCCAAGGGGATGGTCATGGTTGGAGCTTCCATCTCTGATGGGCAAATATACCTTCCTGTTCTCATATTTTGTGAGCCAACCGCTATCCCTCCAGTTTGGGCAGCATGGAAAATCCTAACTAGAAAATATCAACTTCCATGAAGCAATTAGAACTAAATCCTATTATGCTGAACTCTACTGACATTTCTGCTGGCCTATCTTTCCTCAATCCCCACAAAGAATGTCTTTCCACTTTCATAACACTGTGTTCTGTCCCTCAAAATAGCATGCTGGTTTCTAGCCCCACATTCTTTGCACCACCTCATCCTGCAATATTCTGTATTATATTTACCTCTGATAATGATATACAAAACACCATTGGAGAGCATCCTTTATGTTAGCAGTAAACAAACAACAACAACAACAAAAATAACCAAACTCACTGCCTCAAGTTGACTCTACTCAGCGACCCCTCCTTGGGTTTTGGAGGTGGTATCTCTACGGAAGTAGATTGCCCAATCTTCCTTTCAAGAAGTGGCTGATGGGTTTGAACCACCAGCCTTCTGGTTAGCAGTCAAATGTCTTAGACATGACTCTACCACAGCTCCTGTGCAGCACTCCTCTATATGGCTTATCCACTACCCATATGTCCATTCATCTTACTGAAATAGCTTGCATACTGCTAACATGCTGGGAGCTATGCCACTGGTATTTCAAATACCAGCAGAGTAACTCATATAGGAAAGGTTTAGGTGGAGCTTCCAGAATAAGACAAACTAAGAAGAAATTTACTTCTGAAAATTAGCCAGTGAAAACCTTATGGAGCACAACAGAATATTGTCCGATGGACTCAAACATGCTATTAATGATCATGGAGAGCTGACAAGACCAGGCAACACTTTGTTCTGTTGCACATGGGTTGCCATGAGTCAAAGCCAACTTGACAGCAACTAACAACTACAACAGTGACTATACTTATATCCTCACAGAAACAATCCTAGCAGCGAGTTTCAAATCAGAGACAGAAAACTGTAATAATGAAGTATTTTTACTAGTACTTTTATTAGATTAATACACTGGAAACTTTTAAAAATTTCTTCTATGTACCAACTGCTTTCAGGCACATTAATGAAAGCACAGATAACTTTTATAGCTTATTACTAAACACCGAAATGGAAATATTTGTAAACATAATCATCCACTAATGCAGTATATTTATTTAATCACTGACAAGTTTCTAAATTCATTTACTGATGAAGAATGAGCCAATTGTACATCAGCTTTGAGCATCTGTATCTCCCTAAGCTTATATCTTCCATGGTGCCTCTTGAAGTAGCTCAAACAGATGTGAATCAGAAAGCATGCTGAAGATAAACAGCTGTTTCTATGTTATACACACATTCAATGCTAAATTCCACTTGATATAGTCTAGCTATTAAAAATCCAGTGAAGCTTAGTCACTCAATAGTGTTTTAATTTGAATTT